GTAATGGTTTCATGAGATCAAACTATTCACATGGGCGCGCTTTTCATAGCCGGTACCCCTAAGGCGCCCCTTATTTGGCTGTTTCGTCTGGACGAAATTCGTCTAGACTTCCTTTGTAGGTGCACTCTATCTTCTAGTAGTAAAATATCCACGAAGGGTCCCTTTATAAAGAGCGGACGTAATGGCCCGAAATGTAAAAATACGGTATAATGGTACGGTATGTTTTGTTCTCGACTTGCTCTTTTTAGTCACGGGTTTCTAGAAATCGGCTCGACGAATTTCCTTTAAACTTTCTCTTCTGTTAGAAAGGGATCTTATGTAGATAATGTACAAGAGGCATTGAAATCAAAATTGTCTAAGTAAGGGTTCCATGAGCTCAAACTATTGATATATCGGATTCACATGGGCGCGCTTTTCATAGCCGGTTTTCCTAAGTCGCCACTTACTTGGCTATTTCGTCTCGACGAAATTCGTCTGGACTTCCTCGTAGGTGTTATCTATCTTCTAGTATTGAACATTTTATTGAACATGAAATCAGTGTCTGAAGGTTGAATGTATTTGAAATGCATAGCTCCCCTCAACTATTTTTGAAAGTTTTTCAATACTGAACAGGACCTCCTCCCCACTATGATATCATAATTATAAACATAATGACAGAGCACAGGCATGCTAGCACTGATGCCTTTATCATACCTTTGTCAACATGCTCAATAATATCAGTCTGATCAAATTAACCTGTATCAGATTTTATTGAGAAACTCCAATGTGCCAAATTATGTGACAGAAATGTTTCCTAACGTGTTCAAAATAATGTTTTAATAAAAAGTAAGTGCAGTATATCATTCTTGGTTGTGACCATCGATCTTGAGCCTGATGACATGGAACGATAATTTGTATATTACTGAACAATAACAAATAAATCAATAAAGATTGAGTCAACTGGCTGATTAGTCAAGAAACCCTATACAAAATAATAATTGCAGTGAGCGAGTTTGCAGTATATTTAATACAACTACCCCGAGACTGAGTCTGTGTAGGTCTTTAACACAAGTTTTCACAACCGTCTCAAGAGAAAAATCTGAATAGCATAACCAACAGTGCATGTATACCGTATTTACAGCATGTTTTAGGATTACAAAAAAATAATTACTTTTTTTTGTTGTCCGAATACATATTAAATTCTTTAATCAGGTGTCCGAAAAAGGGAAATTTTTTTTAACCCCCGTCCTTAACAAAGTTACTATTAGCTCACATGACGACGTGCTGCCGTAAAGTAAAACAAGTATATTGTCTAACATTACAGAAAGGATAATGAACAAAAAACAGGCATGACTTGCCTATTTTGTTTATTTGATACATGTCCATCCACCAGAAGACACAGCTATACATGTATTTGAGCTACTATTGTGTACGTATTTTCGAAAATAACTGCCATATTAGTAATCGTGCAATCAAGTTGAACCCTTTACTAGTGTAATCAGTGATCAATAAAATCTACCTTACAAACGCATGCAAGCTTTATGTCTGTGTAATTAAGATATTAAACTAAATTTTAAATAAAAACATTGGAATTATAATTCTGAAGATATTTATGACAGAAACATTTTAGCATCGAGAATAAAAATACCCGTAGATCTGACCTCGGTATTTCGGTACCTCTGCCGACATGAAAATCGTTCTCTGGTTAAAGACACGCATTTGTCTATACTCCTTAATATGTTGGGTCCTACCTCAAGATGGATTCTATCAAAAATGCCTCCAATACCGCTATGTTGAAATTCATTTGTATGGCTATTCCACCTCAGTTGATGGTTATGCACTGGGCTTCTTCCGAAAACTTCGTGAAACATGGTTGGTCCTATATGAAAATGGGGATGATCTAACCTCAAATAAATGTCTGTCCTGACGACCATCTTGAAATTCTTGTTGTGACTACTCTTGTCCTCGCTTCTTATTGCAGGCTAGGTAATGGGTATATAGAGAACTCGCCCTATGAAGAACGAGCCTTAGGTAATGCAGAGTAGACCCGATTTGATCTGCTGAGTAACAAAGAGTCGATAAATGGAGACAGCGCATATGGTGGCTTAGTGATTTGAGTGTCGGACTCGTCATCCTGAAGTACTGGTTCGAATCTTTACATCTCATCAGGACGGTCAACTACCTGGACGTGACCTTGGGCAAGACACTATACTCCAATTGCAATAAAAGTGCTTTCGTTGTGCTGTAAAACGGCATACTAAACCACGCCATACATTGTCTCTAGACCATGTGTCTCAAACTCAAACCAATCTGAGGGCCGCATAAGAGCATTTTCGATCGTACAAGGGCCGCACCACCTTTGTTTTCTTTCATGACACCTTGTGACGCCAGTCATTTTGCGGGCTAAAGCATACAGATTGGCGGGCCGCATGTTTAAGACCCCTGCTTTAGATAGAATGACTCTATTAACAGGGGGTTGACGATAAAACAGTTCTTGCAATATGTGGTTTGTCTCATTTATAAATGACGCAGATCTAACATAAATTATGGGCGGTTTGCAAGATCGTCACAGATGGTTTCAGTAGTCAACAGCTAAAAGGAAGAAACTGAGGGGAGAAACGTACTTCTGGTATATTCATACAACCTCGTTTCGACCAGAAACGCATATAAACTAAATTTGTGCAACACATTTATAGTATTCCGAAAGTACCACACATAGCACAGTAACGCAGCTAGCTCACACTCTCAGTGCTAAGTTCTGGTTTACGTTTGTGTCCTTGCTCTCAGATGATGATAATTGTCAACATATCACTCTTTCATCTTATTCTACTTACAGACCGTCTTATCCCATTCATGGATCAAGAATAGAGTAATCATAAAATGTTATACCTTTTTTCATAAAGACTTTTATAAGAGTGTACAAAATTCGATTTTTTTTATCCTCATACTAGTATCGGAAGTGTTTGATTTCCAGATGAGTGTTACTATTTCATGCATTTCGAGACAGGTGATTTTCCAGACTACGCAGGTATGCATTATCAGTTATACATAATAACGTATATGATGTACAGGTCGAAGTACATGCTGATTTAATCGTAGGTAACCTATCGTAGGTCGTATACATGTTTAGATAACAAGACGATAAATGTGAATTAGCCAATACCAGGTCGATTTAACGTTTGCTTGAACTAGGATGTATTCAGCATACAGATAAAAATAATCACGGGTTTAAAATTTTTAAAATCTGTCTTTCTCAAGAAGGAATTACCATCGTTTGAAAGTTTAATAGCTCTTATATTTGGAGACAGACTATAGTATAGTCCGTTCAGCTGTGTGTATTACTTTCAGATGAGAGAAAGTATTTGAGTGCCAGGATCTTTAGAATTCGAAAATTATTACTGTTAATGAACTGTCATGGTTTCATACAGAAATATCCGAGCTATGACAGAAATATATGTTTTACTTTGTTTATTAGGTAAGTATGAAATACTTTGTATAAGATCTCACCGAATTCAATACCTCTTTGCATTCAAACCACTATTTAACACCTACTTCTTTCAAACTTATTTTTCATATATCTCAGTATAAACAACTACAAAGCCAACTTGTCTGTAACTCCTGTAAGAGTGAAATTCATGGATACATGTAACGAATGACTTATTTATTTCCTTGCCATTATGAAATCAACAAAAAACAATCAATTTAACAATTAGGAAACTAGGACCTATATAAATGCACGTAAATCTATTGGTATGTCTGTCTGTCTGTCTGTCTGTCTGTCTGTATGTATGTATGTATGTATGTATGTATGTATGTATGTATGTATGTATGTATGTATGTATGTATGTATGCATGTATGTATGTATGTATGTTCTTTTCCCTCCATTATTCAGGGAAAAGTAGAACAATCACATCATTATGGGTTATATTTTGAAATCACAGGAAAAAAGCGAGAAATAAATATTAAAGGAGACAATACTGCAGTCTCTTTTTAAGAATCAGGCCATTTGTTATAACAACAGTGGCTTTTATAAGGGACATAATTTTCATTCCCCAGGTGTTTATTATGCAATGCATGCAATAATATGAACAGACCGTGCATATTGTGCACCTACCTTGGGTATCCGATAATCTTAAAACCATATTTTGCGATGGTATGTGGTATGCATACCTATATGAGTGAAATGACTGGCAATGGGAATTGTTTTATTTATAGCTATTAATATATGTGACAATTCCACCCTTACATAAAAATAATGGCTTCAGCGAATACGTCGAAGCAGAACAAGCAATAAATCTAAGAAAAGCTCAGTGTGAAATGCAAAATATATTAGATTCAGCCATCCAAGTAAATTATTTCTAAATCATGTGATACATCTTGTTCCTCTGACGGTAACGTTATGAAAATATTCATACCATGCTGAGATATTCCCATGAAACAAAAATAAACAAATGAGACAATTATTTAAAGTCTAACTAATATACAACAACATGGGAAACTTGAATACTTTCTCATGAAACAGGCAAGAGAAATATTATTTTAAGTTCAATATGAAACAACGTCTTCCTACGCAGGTAGGGATACAAGAAGTTTAATACCGAATGTGATATCAACCAGTGCCCATAACGTTCAACTAGTTTTCACAGTCGATTTGAGCGTCTCACCCCATTTCCAGGCCGTAAATTATTAGCATTTGTGGCAAATTGTTAGCATGGGGGGGGTAAAAGATGATTGCGTTTATTTATTTTATGGTATGTGAGGAAAAACAGGACTTTTTCAGGGTTTTTTTTCAGTCATTTTTTTCAGTCATTTCAGTCATTCAGTCATTTTTCAGTCATGTCGCTACGATGTCTGCAATGTGGCAGTTTATAGTGATGTCGTGCAGTGAGGCACAATGCCACAGACATGTAGCATAATGTATCTCCCAGTCATATTATCCTTACATCAGGCCAAACAGTCCCAACAATAGCTTCTTAAAGCTAAGCACCAAGCGAGGCAGCTGCTAGTACTATTTTTTATAAGTCTCTGTATGACTCTACCGGAGTTCGATCCAGCGACCTCCCACATCCGAAGCGGAAGCTCTAACCATTTAGGCCACCGGCGCGGTCAAAGAACTATCTGAATTTAATAACTCATTCGCACTGTCTCTGAGCACTCTTTGATTTAAAAGAAGAGAACGAATGTGAAACTAAAAGATACGATAATAACAATGAATTGGTGTTATATTGTATGCTCAAAATAAGAGTCCTGGACAAGTGTTTCGTTTGATTTTTACAAGTAAATATGAATCTTTTCCAGGGTCATTCGAACAAGTTGCCTCCTTGATGTGCTACTTCTGCGCGGGAACGAATTCAAAGTCTTCGTGTCTTGACGCTAGCTATTTCCTCGAGGGCTTTAAGGATACAGATGGAAAACCACAAATGTTAAAAAACTGCACAGCACCTTATAATAATTTGTGTATCATCGAGGAGTACAGAGCGGGAGGTAAAGTACCCGTTATCATCAATTTGAATTGACCATGGCATTTCTTTCTACCCTGTTAACAGTCTCTTTCAATCAGACCTCTAGACTGTGTGAACTTACTACCGTTCTCTCAGAGAGAGAGAGAGAGAGAGAGAGAGAGAGAGAGAGAGAGAGAGAGAGAGAGAGAGAGAGAGAGAGAGAGAGAGAGTCTCATACAGAGCGGTTTTTTGCGCTAAAGTATATTTTGCAAAAATGCCCAGTAATAGAGATCACATGACAGCATATATATTTAATGATTGTATAAGCAAAAAATATTATAAAGCGTACACCACGTTTCCTCGATATACAGCCAGAATAAATGCATAAATACAGACTCTTACATATGATAAGACTGACATTTGCTACTTGTATAGAACCGAAATGCAGCGTTCTAAAATTATTGTTGCTCTCAGCTTGTCAGATTTATGGGGTTATGAAAATAATTATATTGAATTTCTGTTTCTCCAAAAAAAAATAATAAAAGAAACATATAGTGATTTTTTTAAAGACTGCATTGCTCTTGACGGGTTACATACACCGACTGATAAACAAGTCTGTGCTGGACTAGTTGCTCTAGTTTATTTTGTTTGCCTTTTGTGCATTGCTCTTTTGTTAACTTGCATTTAACACCTAATGACAAATTATCCAACATGAAGTGTTCTATGGATGCTGCTAAGCCGTGTCAAACCATGTACCAAAAGTACACCTAGCAACTGAAAGAGAAAAGTGTTTAAGACATCGTGAAAGACCAGTTCCTTATACAATTATCAATCAGTTATGGGAACAAATTAAACAAAACCAGAAGTAAAATAAAAAATACTGAATTAAATGATTGGGTAACTAAGCAGTCTACTTACACATTACACATATAAGCGAGAAAATAATTTTTTACAAAGAGTTCATTTGGTTGACCAATGACAGGCAGATGTAGTTTATGTGAAAGGATTTGAAACATACAAAAATTATTCCAGTACATGTTGACAGTGGCACATGTCTTTTACATACGCATTGGTTGAAAAAGTAGAAACTAAAACGGAAGATTATATACACATTGCTTATTGAGAAATATTTAAGAGCGAAAATCTGTTAAGATATTACTCATTCCTTAAATGATTCATTACTGTCTATTTTCTCGTTTCTATTTGCTTCGGTACTTTAAGATTTTATTTTATATTGTTCAGCACTGCGTTCAAGATAGCATTCATTTTTTTATCTTTTCCTCAAGGGGTATCACTTATTTATCGCCTTGCTTCGTCTGGTCTGGTGTAACCTACAACTCTTTTCCAATCTAGACTTATAATGCCGGGTACCAGCATTTTTCAGTGATAATTTCCATGAGATGTAAACGGTTTTACTGTCTAGTTTGACACACGTGTGTTTTAGTTTCTATTTTAAGTTTGTTTTTCTCTGAAAGGCATATTCATTCATGCCAAGGCCACCTTTGCACAAATCCAGAACATGGCATAAAAATTTAGACTCTCCATGTCTGATACACTGGTCTGCAAAGTCATTCTTCAGATTTATTTGAGTTCTTCTGATGAAACTGTGCATCTACAACATCTTCATGTTGATGTTACATATCTTGAGATAAATAATTCAACTCATCACGGACCGCACCTACGTTGGGTTATTTAAATAATTTAGCACTATTTTTTTTCAAAGACAGCTATTTAAGAAAAACTGGTACAAATGGACCGTACAAACAATATCTGGCAAAGATTCAGCCGAGAAAGCGCATGAACACATGAATGAAAAAACTCAAGAAAGCACGTGAAACATTTCTCATTGCTAGAATAGCACGTGAAACATTTCTCATTGCTAGAATCTCCAAATCATTGTAAGATGGTATAATGTACTATATCACTAATTAACACATATCATTCAATCGAAAACTTCATACCATATACAAGATTAACTGAAAGATGTCGCAGTGACTTTAAACGGAATTATATACATTTTTGGAGTTTTGTTATTTATGTTGGAATTACATGTATTTACACTAGAGCTGCTTACCACCGAAAAGTTTTGTACCGTGGTATACGGCAGTATTACAGAAGATAATGCGATACGTATCATGCTATAAGTATATTAGAGACGAAATTTTATATTATGGGGCAGAGACGTGGTACTCCATCTATCAATAGCTGGGAAAATATCTTGCTGGTTTTTATCCAAAAATTATCACATTAAAAATCCATTTTATTATTTCAAGTAGAGATATGCTAACATCCTCTGTTTTGTGCACATTGGCTATGCAAAAAATTTCACCCTTTCTCAGAAGTACATAATAAGTGTAGAACGCTATCACAAAAATCCAGATACAACAGAATGCTTTAACTTTGTCCACGAATATCTGAATATTAGTCATGCTCTAATGTTTCATCCAGGCAATAAAAAGGAGATTGGCTACAAAAAGTTCGTTTGAAATAAAAGTCAAATTATGTTTTGTCACACAGCACTTAAATCTGCTCCCACATTTGCATGCGCTGTGCTTTGAATACGTTTTTAAAGTCTCAAATCTGATCTATTTAGTTTCTTTTTGCCATTTTCTGCATTCAGAAATGCTATCATAATGAATACAACTTGAAGGCTTACTTGATGAAAATATCATTAAAAGATAGGAATTAAACCAATCTTTTAGGGACTTTTATTTGCCATAATGCGTTATAAAAGTATTGGTTTTAGAGCGTTTGTTCCCATTAATGCCATCTGCAAGTATAGTTTATAAACTTTTCGCTCGGTCGGTTACAGTTATTTACCTTAATATCTTATAATTCTATTAGTTTGGGGACTTCTGTTCGCCTTAAAGCTATGATAAAACTATTCGTTTGTGGACTTTTGTTGGCCTTAATCTTTAATAAAACTGTTCGTTTGTGGACCTTTGTTTGCCTTAATTCTTTATAAAACTATTCGTTTGGGGACTTCTGTTTGCCTTAACGTCATTATAAAACTATTCGTTTGGGTACTTCTGTTTGCCTTAAGGCCATTATAAAACTATTCCTTTGTGGACTTTTGTTTGCTTTAATGCCTTATAAAACTATTCGTTTGGAATCTTTTGTTTTCCTCAATGCCTTATAAAAATGTTTGTGGACTTTTGTTTGTCTTTGGGGACTTTTTGTTTCCCTTAGTGCCCTATATGGAGACTTTTATGCTTTAATGGCAATATTAAAACTAATCGTTTGGAGAATTTTATATGCCTTAATTGCCACTTTAAAACTGTTCGTTTGTGGACTTTTGCTTGTCTTCACGCCTTATAAAACACAAATATATGCGTGTATAGGATAATAAAAGTCAGTATTTAAGACAGTCCCTCGATAGGAAATGATTTCAGAGCCAGTGATGAACACTCTGAAAATAGAAAAGTAGGAATAAGCAGAAATATGAACAGAAATGGAAATACAATATATACGTGTGCTAAGAAGGTTGCAGCAAAGCCGCATGAGGCACATTTACAATTTCAAGAGACAGTAAATTACCACCACCATCTCGTTTCTAATATACTAAATTGGTATCACTTGTAACTTTCCATGATTTGTGACTATTTCGCGAGACATTTATAGCTTTTATTAGATCTGCTACCACTGCAGGTGCGGTCTCGGTATCACAGTTAAGATGCCATGTTAATGTTTTGTATAAACAAATTTCAAAATTTCTCATGTTTGCATGGATATTTAATTCTTCGTGGAACCAGTCTTTAATCTATCTGGTCACCCTGTAATTGCAGTCTGTCTAAAAGGACGATTTTGATAATCATTAACAAACATGATGGGTTACGTCAGTACTGCTGTAACTAGACTCACACATTTAGTCTGGAAAAATATTGTTTGTTCTTTGTATAAGCAAATACTGGTTGATACTTAACAATGTTTTGGGTGAAAATAACCTCACCAATCAGAACATCGCTAGGCCAATTGCATCAGATGGTGAAATAACCCAAAAAGTAATTAAATGATTACACATCATTCGGATGTTTGTTTGTTTTTTATTTCCCTTTGCGTAATGCACCATGTAAGTTACAAAGACAATATGGTTGTCTCCCTCTGTCTCCTTAATTATTCAATGTAAATGAAGTAGTTCAGATTATAGTTCTCAATGGCGACGAATATCCGAGATTTCTTACTCGACTTTGTCGGAATAGGTCGAGAATGTTTCAATTGTTACTCCACTGGTCATTCGGAGCTTATTGGTTCTGGTCGAAACAAGGGTGTATTTTCTCCCAGTTCGAACGCTAACAAGCGACAACGCCTCCTATTTATATTATCGCGGAGGTTTTGCAAAACCAGTCGTGATGATTAACAAATATTGTTTATCCAATAAATAAAATTACTTCATATACTTATACAAACCAGGTGAAAATGATACTATGAATGGTTTGTTATTATGTTTGTTCTTTTGACAACATCATATTTAAGAAATGTGAGAAACTTCAGACCTTCTCCAGTTACACGTATGGCATTACACACACATCACTAGGTTTAGCAAAGGTACCTAAACAGCTCAGTTATAGAAGGGTAAGCTTTTATGCAAGTTCTCGTTGCAAATTAAATAAAGACTTTCAGTTAACCGAAACAGGCATATGTGTGCATGTGTGTCTTGAGGG